TTTTTTTTTTTTTTTTCAAAAAGTTGAGACTCTTACTAGTTAGACGAGCGATTTCTACATCGTTTTTTTAGAAGAAGAAATTTTTACATAGTTCAAGACAAAGAAAAGTAAAAGCTAAAACGTAGGGAACTAACCCAACAAGTCATATAATCCTCTTTATGCTTATTCAAGGGCTAAACCATTGAACAATCATGGAAACAGAACCTTCAGAAAGCTTTGGTTGCATGAATCGGTCAACAAAAGCTGGAGCTAACCTACTGGAGTTCCTCTCTTGTGGTCCAGCCACTTGAGTAGACTCAACACGGGCCCGATTCGAACCACTCGGGAAGAGGCGGGTTTGACCCTTCTCCTGCAACTTGGCAAGCTCACTGGTCCACATATCTATGATCCCCGACATGACTGAAATCTTTCGAAGTAGACGGGAAAGATATTTGTGAGATATTTGTGAGATATTTGAGGCTTTGGGAGTTGATATTTTGGATGTTGAGTGAAATCTGTATCATGGGTTTATATAAGAGGTTTTTCAAGTGGTTGAGTTTACGATGGTTGCGGCGCCCACGTTTCTTGGATGGAAGCCATGGTATGCTAGTGCTTTCTGACACGGACAAAAAGGAGTTATCACTAGCTCACTTTCAACAATTTCTGTATTTTCCCAAACCGCTGCAGGCTTGTGGTATATCTTATTTCCACCAGCAAAGACAGGTTGATGATGAGATTAGTTTCACTAATTAAAGAAGATGATAAAGAAAAAGAAAGAACATAAAATCCAGATTTGGGATTGGGCTTCCAGATTTCTTATTTCAAAAAGGCTTCCAAGGGCCTGGAACAATTGATCATGGGCTTCATCTGCTGCGAATTGCCCCAGTACAAACATATCCCAAATAAGTTTATACAGACATTGGAAGACCTTGAGACCCAATTATACATATAGATTTGAGGATGATCTGTTATAATGTTCATATACGGTTTAAAGGATAATGATATTTGGCAAAGGAAAACATGGCAGCATCTAACTCTGGCTGCTCGATTTGTGAATTGCATGCATTTTGGCCCTTGCTTCTGGTTCTTCCACCTCTGCTTGCATGAGTGCTTCTCCCTATCTGAGGGCCATCTCTCTTGAAAGCACAAAGCATTGGCATAGCTTCCATCCTTTGCTAAAAGAATGGGTCACTGGGAGGTAAGGCCAAAGCCTTCCAAAACTTAAGGATTTGAACATCAATGAAAAGCTGTATGATTCGTAAGGCCCCAAAGCAGAGAAGGCAACAACCCTTCGTAAAATGTAGTCCGGCTGAAGCCTAGGAACAGTTAGTATCTCACTTTCAGGTCAGCACTTCTGATGCTGCTTATCTTGAAGAAGAGTTGAAGCATAGCATTTGTCCCTCACTATCCACAAGTAATCAATTTTTCCAGGTATGATAACACATTTCTTTAAGCCCAAAGGTGCATTTTTTTCCGCCAAAATAGGTCTCATGGCTTTGATCCCATTTTCCCAATAACAGGAGGTGCTTTGAAATGCAACTGTAGTCTTTCAACACACCAGGTAACTGAAGAAGCCCCAACAAGCTCGTAACTCTGCCTTTAACAAAGAATACAATATTGCTGCTTGAATGCAGTCTTCACAAGTTCAGATCCATGGTGTCCAACCTTCGTACATGTTGCAAAGGTTATCAATGCTGGTAGATTGCTTCAGTAGATAATCTACTTGCTCTGCAATACTAATTTCCCTGCAAGAAAATCGAAAAGGCTTACCATTTATAGGCATTTCCTTTCATACCTATATCTAATCTCAAATGGGAGTATATACCTGTTCTCAGAAATGTCTCGTCCATCTAATTTCATTTCAACACGCTTTAGTACTGACAAGGCATAAGCATTTTTACCTACAAGAAGTCAAGAATTACTAAAATGGCAGTTCAAAAGCAAGTAATTCAAATGGTTCAATAATATAGATACTGAACTCACCCCTTGCTAAAGGACCAGCAGTTTGCATGTTAGGATTTGAAACTTCGTGGATTTCATCACCAAGCTTAACTTTGTTTGATGAGGATAATATTTCATCCTTACCCCCAGTTTCATGTTCCAAGTTTTCCCTTTTCAAAGGCTGTGAAGAGTCAACACGTGTGCTTATAGCTTCATCATTGGCTGATGCCGTGGTTTCCATACATTCATTTGGTTCATTGGTTGCTGACTTCACAGAACAAGCATCAATATTGCTCACCTCCATATTCTTGGAGAGTGGGAGCTGACATTGTGGGGCTTCATCAGAATCACTTTGCAAAGATGGAACAGAATTAAGATCATCTCTGACCTTCCTCTGATTAGACCCATGAGAAAGCTTTTCCATGACCTCAGCTGGATCATTGAAGTTCTCAGGAAGACTAGTTTCAGCCAAGGTAATTCCAGATTCCACACTGCTACTGCCAATGCTATCTGGTGGAGATATCCATTCTTTGTCTTGCAAAGAAAGTTCTGTCAAATCAACAGAATCTTTGATATTTCCACTGTCTGATATGGAGAGGCTCTCTCTGCCTAGTTCCTCAGATTCAGTAGAATCACCAGCAAGATCTGGACCTGACAAACTAATTCCCTGTGATTTTACCTCCTGGCTTTCACCTAGACCTTCAAGAGCCTAGAGAGAGAGAGAGAGGGAGAGACAGAGAGAATATGTGTTAGTCTTTCCATTCTCAAATATAGAACCAGGGATCATTTGATCCATATTATTAAATATAAGAGTGACCTTACTCTATTAAGGTTGCCAGCATGGACGCTTGCAGTTTGTGCAAGCCTGATGAACAAAGCATGTAATCCTTTCACAGATGATATAAGTGATGGTACCAAGGACTTGAAGTTCTGATAAGTCTCCCTAACTCTTAAACTGTAAGACTGATATATAGCTTGTCCATGAATTGGAGATACTTCTGTCTTGCTGTCTCTTTCCGTACCCATAGCTTCAGTCATAGTAGCTACATCCTTAGATAAAACAGATTCTAATGGAAGAAGAATTCCATTTACCTGGCAAAAGTTACACACATACGAATGTTGTTGTCAAAGTGGATCGAAATGGAAACAGTATAATTCCAAAAAAAAAAGAAAAATATTTAATTTCATGAAAGCTGGAATTTTCAATAAGGGAATGGTGTACAGAAGCAGCCTTGTTTCTCCCATTCCTATTTTCCATGTAAAGCACATAGTTAAGAAAATAACAGGTCATAAATCGATAGACAAAGAGAACCTTTGAAAGATCATCCATAAGAGAATGGTGCACAGCAGAAGCCTCCTTTCCCAAATTATGAACATCGTGCAGATCTTCAGTGATAGCAAGAACCTAAGGAAAAGTTTAATAATATTAGCCCTGTAGAATTACCAAACAAGAAATCAAGGATTTGACTGCAGATAGCAAAATAGAACAAGAGGAACATTAGAGAGCAACTGATAGAAGGTTTGAAGAAGAGAATAGCCATTTCTGTTTACTGGTTAATCAACACAAGATCAATTGAGATCAAAAGCAACACCAGCCATATAGATTCATAGAAAAAAGGCTTTTATATCATTACTGTATTAATCTCTTCTAATCACTTGATGTGCTGACAAACAGCACCACTTAGGATATTTTGTTTGAGTTACAAAAAAGAAACCTAATTGATGATATGCTTATTAGCTTCTGGGTAAACTCCATGTTATGTCTTAGATTAAAGCTGTAGAAATTTACTACTGTAATTTGCTAAAAACTATGCAGCCAAATTACATAAATTGCAATACATTTCACAGCAACTAAGTTCAGGCAGAGGATGGCAAATCAAAACAGTTTTTAATAATTTTGGGTGAATAAAATTGGTTACCATTGAAAAGAGAACTACTCTCAAGAATATAACCATAAGCCAAATGATTGAGTTTAACTGAAGTAGAAGCACTTTGGCTGGTAAGCTTGGTAATTGGAATTTGGCCATATAAGAAAAAGAAAAAGAAAAATTGAAACTTGGCAAAATTAAAGACATGGAAAAAGTGAATTTGCTTGTTAGCCACTAAAATATTGCAAAATGACTGACTTGGAAGAAATTTACTGTACAAATTATACCTCTTCAAGCATGGAACCAGATTCAGAAGTCAAAGCAGTATGGCTTCTAGCTACACGAGCAAAAGCAGACAGTGCAACACTGGCTTCACATGCACAATCTCTCATGTCAAGAACAGTGCATTGCAAATCACCTGCACACACACACACACACACAAACAAACAAAAAAATAAATAAAATCAACAGCTGAAGTACTTGATGGAAGACAGATTTGCTGGGGTATGACATTTTCATATGCATGAAAGTGATAAAAGAAATAATGACTGAGAAAGTAGATGTGACCTGAAGCAGATTTTGCCTTAAGAGAAGCAATGCATAGTTCATTAGCTGTGGAATATAAGCCATTTGAAGCAGCTTCCACGTTGCTTTGAGCAAGCTTCCATTCTTGCTCAGTACCTATTACAAGAGAGAAAAATTCATGTTAATGACCTGTTCCAAAGGCTATTTTACGTGCTTGTTAAGCAGCAAGTACAATTGCATACTCACGTGTAAAAGAATGATATGTAACCTCCAATTTTGTTAATGCAGTCATGTAGGCTTGCTGCCATGTCCTGCCATCACTTCCAGTTCTCAATGGATAGACATCTCCTGGAACCCTAAAAACACCATCTCTAGATGCTTCAAACTCCAGCACAGACATGCAAATTTTGACAAGGTTTGATGCCTTTTCTCTAGCTTCCCGTAGCAATTGCCTTCGTCTCATCAGGTGGTCATGGAATTCATGAGGAATTCCTGAATCCTTGGCAGATGAATTTCCAGTTGAATTTGGTCCACCACAAGCCCATCCCATTGCTCTCTCAAGCTGTCCTTCTGCTGTGAGAGAAGTTCTCTCACAAGACTGTAGACACTCTATTGACCTAGCCACTTGTGACACAGCAGACTGAATGTTTTCCAGCAATTTTGGTCTACTGAGGTTTAGAATGATGGGATACAAGTCATCATCACTAGCAAAACACTTCTGGAACACAAGCCTGCTGTTATGGGAAGGGGACAAGGTAACGTCATGCATCCATTCCTTCTGCACAATCTCTAAGGTAGTTTTGTGAAGTGCTTCCCTGAGTTCATTTACGTGCCTCTTCATGAGAGCTGCTGCTGACTTTGCTGCTCTAGCAGTTTCATGTGCATTGCAGTACTCCTCAAGCATATGTCGGACCCTTTTCACGGACCCAACATCCTTCTTCACTTGGTCATTAAGATCCTTTCTTCCATCTGTGAGTAGCTTCAAATGCTCATTTTCTTTGTCTAAACAAGACAGTAGAGCAGGAACAACTCGTTGTTTAAGGTAGAAGCCAATTTGTTCTTGAAGTTGGATTTCAAGCTTTCTCTTTACAATATTAAAAAGCTGTTCAAATCCTAAATTTTGATCCACTGACGAAGCCACATCATGTATGCATGAATCAAGAATAGAATCCAGAATGCCTATCTTCCAAATAAAAAAGGAATGGCCGTTCAATGAGTTGCCAGAATTCCAAATGTACTCATACACTGAGCGTCCAGAACTCATGAAGTCCAATAAATTAGGAACACCATCTGAGTAGGATACAAATGCATTGCCAGATTTAGACAACACTTCATCAAATGATTCCAATTCAGCAAATGGTTTAACTAATTCTGCAAGTAGTACTTTGCTTCTCAAATGATGGAGCTCCCTAACCTCTTCAGCATTAATTAGAGATTGAAAATGGTGTTCACAAGAAACCAAGGTATTCTTAACATCAGCTTCCCTCTTTATGATAGAAGAAGTCCGTTTGTCTCTTTGGTTCCAAGTTTGATGGAGTTGGTCCAGTTGTGCCCTGCAAGCTTCTTCTTGCGAGGCAAGCTCCTCAGCTTCTTCCCAGGATAAATGATCCCGGCTCTTCATGGCAGCTTCTTCAAGAGCCAACTGCTTCTCAGTAATGAGGCCAACCTTAACAAAGTAATTTTGTTCCAATTCAACCAAGGATGCCTTCTCCAATTCAACCTCCATTAACTGCTCCAGTGCTGTGTCAATGGATCCCCTCACTTGTGAAATTAAACCAAATGCATCCATAACTTCTGTATTGAATGAAACTGCAGATCTCATTACATCTGGTAATACAACCTCAGTCATTTTCCCCACCAAACTCTTGAAGGAAAGTAAAATAGTTTTGAAGATGGAAGCCCAGTGTCCATCATAGTACTTTGGAAAGTCTATATTTGTATCAACGTCAGTTATGTCTCTTCCAATTTGCTGTTGCAATTCATTAACAAAGTCAGCCACAAGAATGCATTTTTCTACTTGCTCTTCAATCTGAGAGAAGATAGTTCCAGGATCACATTGCACTACGCTGTTGTCATTTCTTCCCCCCACGGGATTGCTGAATATGTCAAGCACTCTATGCTTGACATCATTATATAATGAGCTTATAGCTACATTTAGAACAGACAGTACCTTCTCCATCTTCTCTTCGAGCTCCCCTCGCACACTGGCATCCTTTGTTCCCTGGTATTTTGATTCTTCAGATTGAGCAGAATTATTAGCATCTTCTTTCCTTAGACCAGCAGACTGCATGTATTTCATGAAAGCAGAAATAAGACGATCCTTAGCTTTTATCTCAGTCTCTGAGCCAATTGAGTTTACTAGCTCAGCACACTCCTCCTCAACTTTTTCTATCTCAACTGCATACTTCTCCACTCTGTGACAGAGATTAGCATGATTGCTTTTAATAAAATCAACATTATCCCCGTGCACCTTTGCAATCAGTTCAGCAGCCTGTCTTCTTGCCAGAGAGAGGAGGTCAGGGGAAAGGGCATTTGCAGATAGTTGCAGAACTTGTGCCCAACCATGCAGTGCACTGGTTGTAAGGTAATTCAAAGGCAGGACTCTCTGCAAAGCCAAAGAGTATGCTTGAAGTGCAGTTTTTCCAGAAGAGAGTCCATGATCCAACTCAGAAATTAGCTGTGAAACTTCCCTATCTATATCGTGACATTGTACTTGTGTGGGCTCAGGAACAATAGTCAATGGAACTCCAGCCACTAGAACAGCAGACGTTAGAGAAAAAGCATCTAGCATGCCACTGAGATTCATGATGGCATTTATTTCAGGAATTAAATTGCCTCGTAAAGCATCAAGGACCCTTCCATGCTGTTCAATCCAAGTTGTTGCTTCTTGAGCTTTCTCAGCTACCACCGTTTTTGCTTGGGCAAATTCTAGAGCCTGAATTTCATATGATGCACGAGTTTTCTCCGAATTGCAAGTTGCTTCGGAAACCACTGACTTTGCAGATGTCTCATGTAGAATAAGATTAGATCTCTCCTGGTCAGCTTGATAAAAAAGAGCAGATGCAAGCTCATATTTCTTTAGAACATCAGCAAACCTCTGAAATATGGATATTCAACAATTAAAACTTCAACTTCAAAGCAAACTCAAAACCTATAAGTGGCCAAATGAGTTGCACTTAGAAAACCTTTCATACCTCGAGAGCAGATTCAACAGCAGGTAATGTAGTCAACAAAAGATCACGATGTTCCTGATCATAATTAGAGAAATCATACATTATTCATACATCAGGACAATTTCTAAACAAACAAGAAAGAGGATATGATATGCAAACTAACTTAAATAGTTGATTCTAGTGAACAAAAAGACACAATGCAGGACCTAAAACTTCCAAGATAATGCATGTGATTTGAAATTATGCAGTATAGATTATAGACAGGTAAAGTCAATTTTTGCAAGCAGTGGCCAATGGTATTGAAAAAGTGAAGATTTAAAGAACCTGGAAGAAAACAATTAACATTTCCAAGTCAAGGCAATCAAAGAAATAAATACATATTCAATTTGCTTCAACCAAAGGTACATGCAAGCCACAGTTATAAACAATAAAGTACCTGCAAAGGAACACGAATTTCTTGCACTCGAGATGCAAATAAACTCAAGCTAACTGCCAACTCCATGCCTTTTCTCTCTTCGCCACCAATTGCTGCATCATCATGAAAATCTCCACGTGTCCATTCTACTAGCGGATCCCACACAAATACTTCTAGCAGCATTAAGAGGATGTCCTTGTTCTTCCTCAAAACACTAATGACTGCCTCACAATTTGCTCTAAAACTACCTTCTATTCCAGTTAGTCCTAAAGCTGCCTCAATTGTCTGTGTAAGACGGAAGGGAACAATCTCAGGAACCTTTAGTCTTTGCCCTTTGTCAAAACAAACATTGTAATCAATATGAACTACATCCCCACTGATAAAATCCATAAGAATATTATCCAAATGTCTATCCCCCAATCCCAGAACATGACCCACCATACTCATGGCTGCAACACTTCCTGTGTACCTACAAGTTAAGAATACAAATCAGAGTTTACATGCTTTGCAATCTGCAGCAACTAATTTAAGGTTCTAAAAAGAAGAAACAACTAATTGAAGCACCTCCATTTAGTGATTGATAATTACTTAAGACAGGTGGGTATGGTCAAGAATAGAAAGAAAGAAAAAAAAAGGTATGGCAGAGCATATATTTGGTGGCTGAATCTTTAAGGAAAGGATTATATAGCAGTAAACTTCAATTTAACATCAATAGAACATCTTCTATTCAAACAAATTGCATTAGAAACTTTTTGACTCCAATGTGACAAAATTTCAGAATAAATGCCCAAATATATTATAGAAAGAACACCAAATGTTTTTGTAATTTATCAACACAATGTTATATGGCATGAAAAATCTTTCCTTAAAAGACTGCAGGACATAGCATTGAAGCTATCATCATTATAGCATTTGAAGTGATGGTGCAACGAAAAGTAAGTCCAACATTAGGTTTTCAGGTGTAGATCAGCAACACAAATTGGCCAAAGAACAATCATCCACAACAGTCATGAGGTTCATTTAACAGCTTAGTTTTAGTCTTATTAGTAAAAAGAAGAGCTTCTTAAGATTCTCTGCTCCTCAAAGAATACCTTTTCAGTTTTGAGCTGAAGGCTTTGAACCCTTCACTAGCACACCAAAGTTCCTGATGCAGAAGCTGTTTAGGGACCTCCTTCATAAGATCCAGAAGAACTTTGCACTTGACTTCATGAGGCCAGTCTCTTCGAGAAATCACTCTTCTAATTCCTTTTTCTTTAAGAGCTGGTATGATTTTACCATAGAACATATCACTTGGACGAGGAATGGGTGGAAGAACAGAACCTTTTGCATTCCCAGCACCTAATGATGAAAGTTGGGCAAGCTGTACACGATTTTGCCAGGACTTAAAGATGCTGTATATGCTTATTACATTGTCCACCCATTGGATAAGACCAGCACGACCGCTGATTGGAGTAACAGAATAATAGCGAATGTTGAGAAAACGATGGTAAGTTGCAGAAGATGAACGTAGAAAACTATTTATAGCTTGTAGCAACTGCATGATTCTAGCATCAAGGCGTAAGTCCTCCCGCCCTTTCAACAGATATGTGTACATTTTTCCATCTGAACCCAGCATACCAAGTTTCTTAGGTTTTGTCTTGGTTGGTAAGATAGTAAGCTGTTCTGAGAATGAAGCAATTGTGACAATTTCCTGAAGAGTTGAAGTGAGACCTCTGTTTGATTCAGATGCAGTGACTTGCTTCTCAAGACCAGGCATTGGAACATCAGAAGATGATAACATAGCCAGCTGTGGGGCAACTTCACCTAAAGATATTGAAGACTTTCTCTGATAAGATGCCAAGGATGCAGCAATACTGTCAAAGGGTCGCCACACATCTCCCAGTGCAGCAGCAGATCCTGGGGGAGTCTTAAAGGTTAAGATGGCAGATTTCAGCTGTTCTCTATATTCTTGATGGAACCATAATTCATGAGGTGTCTCAGGCTTCCTAGAAGTTGAAGCCAGACGGCGTTCCAAGGCCACAACGATTGGAGCCATCATGGCTGAGTATTTAGCAGCATTTATCTTCTTCTTCTCACCCTCACTAAGAGTGGCATTCTCAGCAATCCTTTTGGCCTCATCTTTTAGAACATTTATGCGCCTCATTACATCTGAAAGAAATCTTACTCAGGTTATAGACATAAACAGCACTCTCAGAGAACCTAGTAACAAATTAGCAAATTTATAGCAAGAGACCAAAACCAATCTCCACTAGCCTTACAATAATAAAAGAATTTAAAGATGAAATAGGCTATGTAACAACAACAGTCACTTTATAATATCAAACACATTAAGTTAAATAGACCATCACATTTGTGGTTTGTTGGATATTACATGTCAAAAGTTCCAACAGCCATGAGAGATTGCATTTTAAATTGAGGTCGCACATTAGAGACCAATGTTCATGTTCATGAATTGTGAGAAACATTTATGAAGGGGGAAAGAATCTGATCTTAACCAAATTTTTAGTAGACCCTTGGCCATCGAAAGGCATATGGGAATAGACCATCATAATAAACAACAGAAGCCTTGTTATACTGAGCTAATGTCACCTGTGTGGAGATCTTGCAGTGTGCTGAGCCATAGTTCCTCCCAAAGAACAGTTACATTTCCAAGCTCATTAATCATAAGCTGAACATCCTGAACTAATCTTGGGTAAAGATCTCTCTGCATCAACAAAACTATGCTTTAGTTAGCTTATATGATTCTTTAACTAATCAACTCAAGATCCCCACAAACTAAATCAGAAACCTTATAATGCACCAACTGAAAAAGAATCTTTATATTACCAAACAACCCAGTATATGCTGAAGCTCCTCTGAAGGCTTCTCATCATAAGCATTTACATCAACTAGCGTTGGGTACACTATAGACCAAGGAGATCGCTTGGCTAACATAATCAGTAACCCCTCCAATTGCCTTCGAACAACTTGCTCAGGGTGAGAGCTCAGCCGAGCAAACAATTGAGGTGTCACTTCCTAAAAGAAGAAAAAGGAGAGTTAAAATTAATAATGTTTAGAAAATTAATTTTTTGAAAAAATGGGGTGGGGACTCAAAAGCAGATTTGCACCTGCCATGACCACAAAGGAACTGATGGAAGAGCAGGTTCAATTGTGTCTCTTAATTCCACCCCATAGTTGAGAAGAATGTGTAGGATGTATAATGTGGCTCTCAGGGTATAGCTCTCAGCCTTTTGTTTCATTGGCTTGCAATCAACACCAAACAAGTGACCACCATTGACCTTGGTAGATGAAAGTAAAAGATACTGTATGAAACCATGAGCTGCATGCCCAAAGAGAGAGACTCTCCTCTGTCTCAGTGACCACCAAATATCTACTAGTTTATCAACTACAGATGTTATATCTTCAAGAACAATGTTTGCAAGTTGAAAGGTATTCTGCAACTGAGAGGCCACTGTGGCAGAAAGGATCTCACCATTGATGTCTTCTGCACCTGGTGCACCAGCTGCAGCTTCAATTATATCCACAACTTCTTGCACTAAAGACTTTGAAGGTGTCTTAGAACTCAAATTTTCTGCAGCATCAAACCAAAACTCCTGATCTTCCCCTCTATCATTTTCATGCTTTAAATCATCCCTACTCTGAAGAAGCTGAAAAATCACACATTCCACTCCATTGATCTCATCTTCAGTCAACTTGAATCTTTCAGGTGTAAGTTCTGGAATTAGCATAGGTGAAAACGAGCAGGAATGAAGAATTTTCTCATGCCTGTTGACAAGAGTGTTCCTTGCCTGACTGAAACACCAAGAAGCATAAGAAATCCATGACTTTCCCATTTTAGGGCAAAGTTGAGTAGATGATTTTGTAGCTTTTCCTACCATTTCCTCAATAATTACATCTAAGCTTGGTTTAGAGCTTAAGTTTGGATCACTGAATGAAGAGACAGCTCTTCCAATGGGAGATCCATTGTCTTCATATAGTTCTGATTGCATCTTGAGAACAATGTTTTCAAGATCCTGCCCATCCCATCTCAACCAGTCTGAAAATCTCAAGCATGCCTTTGCCTTCAACATGCCATGACCAGCATCCTTCATTGTCAATGCTGAAGAACCCATGTAAGGACGCACAAATGACCACAGATTAGCCAAGGCATCTTCAATCTTTTTCTCTGTATGCATTAGTAGGATTTCCTCATACTGCAAATTCAACATCAAGAAATCACGGTATCCTCCTTCGGAGCAATTCAATACATTATCCTTCAGATAGCTGTTTAGACGGTGTGCCAACATCAAGTTCCCTTGCTTGCGGGCCAACCGCAACAAATTCATACAGAGATTTAGAGTAATTGGAGAAGTTGGGGAAATTGTTCGATACACCCGAAGAAGTTTCAACCATGGGGTACAATCTTGATAAATTCCTTTAATTAAAGGCTGCAGCGGAAGCACATACGAACTCAAAATTGATTTACTGAGTTCAGATTTTGCTTTGTTGCATATAAGCTCAGAACTCTCTTCAAGTGCAAAGATGCAATGCAATTGTGAAGCAAATGCTGCTGCCTCAGTCAATCCATCAAGAGGCAGAACCGACAACACTTCCTCCAGCATTGACTTAGCCTTCTGTAGATCATGTGCAACAGTGTCGCTCTTTCCCTCAATCAGAAGAAGCAGTGCTTGTAAAAGCATCTGCTCACTCCTTTGCAAAGCTAGTTTGGGATCAAGTGTAAGTTCACTGCTAGATTTTGGTGTCAAATCCAAGTATGACCATGCAGCCTTATTATCACCCTCATCAAAGCATGCCAGTGCATGAACTGCATTCATTTCATTGCCTGCTGTGGTTAAAGCACCAGAATAACTCTTCCCAGCATGCTTAGCACGAAGTGTTTGCAACTCTATCAGCCAGGACTCTAGAGACTTCCAATCAGATACAGCCGTATAACTCTCAATGATACGTGCAATGATAAACTTAACACCATCAGAACCCATACCAGTCAGCAATTCCTCAGATTGCAACAAGTGAGCAAAGTAAGCAGCAGCCTTTTCATGCTGGCCTTCAGCCTGATATATAAGCCCAGTGATCCACTGGGAAGGTCCTAATATCCCACTGTGATTCATGGACTGGTTTTCATCCATAAGCAATGATGAAAAGTTCATTGTAATCCATTTTTGAAGACCGATCAAAGCCTCAGATTCATGACTCCGAGACAGAGCCAATGCCATGTGCCGTAAAACCCGGAGGATATCTCCCAAAAATCTCCCCCTGATACTATGGAGCTGTTCTGCTACCTGTGCCATAGACTTATCCTTCAAAGCCAAGACCACGAGACTTTTAAGCTCCTGCAACCGCAGAGTGCAATATTGAATTGTGGCATCATCACACTGTAATGCCAATCCAGCATTCATCATTGGCTCAGAGATGCGGGAAAACCACTCTTCACAGACTTTCTTGTTTGCCCGAAAAAACAAGGAACTCTGTCTATTTGCAGATGGTAAAATGGCAGATCCCTCATATGCATTGTATACATTTTTTTTCAAGGCTTCAACAAAAGCCAATAGTAACCTCATTGGCAACAAATGTGCACCAGAAGAACCTATTATACTTAAGCTCCCATCATTTTGTTCACCATCAAGCTCTAATACATGTGCAATATCCAAAAGCATCCTTTCCAATGCTGCAAAAGTTTGTGTGGGCCCACCAAGGTTAGTTCGAAGGCGTGTAGAAATACAATATCTGGCAGCCTCATGTATAGCCCACCAGGCACCAGCCAAGTTATTGATGGAGCAAACACTCTTCAAAACTTCTTCATCTACTTCTATATTCAACCACAAATCATTGGAACCAACATTTCCAGTTTCCTCAAGCTGACTCAAAACATTTTCCTTTGAGCTTCGACTCCTGAGAATGAGCCGCTGTATCCAAGAAGAGAGGGGCACTTTCCATCTTTGTGAAATGTAACTCAAAATAGAAACAAGTTGCTGTGACTGAAGTTGCTGAGGGAGTTGCTTCAGGGCAAATACTTTCTTCCAGCACAAGTTAGAACTTTTGCTTGACATAAGAACCATTTGCCTACAAGTGATAGAAGTCCCATGGTCATATGAACCACATGCATAGATTGTAGTTGGCAAAACATGAGACAGCAGCCTAACAAATGCATTTCTTATGTCTATATCTGGATCACCAAGTTTTTCTAGGACCACTTCAGATATAAGATAAAAGTACATGGGATGCATCAATCTTGATTTTAGAAGCAGCTCCAAAACTAATGCAACCTGTGATCTCACTTTTGATTCCCTGTCAAACGCAGCCTCCAAAACTGCAAAAACAATATTTCTAGCAAGGCTAACATATTCAAAAGTTTCATAGTTGTACGAATTCATATCTGAATTCCCATAAATAGCAATTACATTCTCACAGAACTTTTGTACCCATTCTAGAGCCACTACTTTAACAGCAAGAGGGGAGGAAGCCTGAAGAGCTTTAACAAGAACCATCCCATAGTCCCTTAGGTGCTCAATAATCACATCTGAATGTACATCCCTGCAACTGTTATCATTCAAGACGCTTTCTTCAGAAACATCTAGAGAAGCTTTGACACCATTTTGATTTCTGATGGAATACTTGCTCAAGAATGTAACCACACTTAGCCTCTTCAATGACTTGATAACATCCACTTGCAACTCTATACAGGCCTGAATAGGTAAATCAAAAGGATTTAGTTTCTCGATAATAAGAGAAACCAACATTTCTGACCTCCTCAAATACAAGGTGGCAATGCTTGGTGAGCCAATCAAACTGCTAGCCGCACTGAAGGAGACAGAAGTTAACAAAACTTTCAAATCAAATTTAAACAGGGCAAACAACTCCAGTTTTGAGTAAGGTCTAGAATCTCTGGAATCATTATCCTCCTCCTGATGACCCAAAATTTCTGCAAGCATTTTCTTTAATAATGCCAGCTCCTCTGTTAACAAGGTCATAGCCTGTTGAACAATTTCATCATTTCCATGTTGAAGCAAGAAGATATAAGCAGCTGCAGAACTTCCAGTGACTAAATGATTTGGGTGTAAACGGAGCTTTGATATTGGGGCATCAAAAGCAAGTATTTTCTGCACAGCTGATGGGAGGAGGCCAAACTTCTGTAATGCTAATAACTGAAGATTAGTCTTTAAGACTCCATGGACTTGAAATGAGGTGATCCTCCCAGCACCAACTGATCGAGTAGTACAGTCAAATTCCAAGCTCTGAAATAAGATGTCAACAGCAAGCAGATAAAAAGTGGAAAACCTTTCACCTAATATTTCTGCCAACAGAGTCAGGCACTTCCATGAATCACCAATCCAGTTTGACCATCCAAACCTCTTTCCAATCATAGATAAACATCCCAATAACTGGGGAAGCATTTTGGTCAGTGGTTCAGTAATTTGTTCAAGTAGATTGATTTCCAGCAACCCAGAAGCAGTAGACTGCAAGACTGTAGAAAAACAAGAAAGCAATGCAAGCAATCTTCGAAATTGTTGCGGGGTTCCATGAGGACCATCTTTAAGCAATACATCCATGTCTCCCAAAAACTTTGATAACAACCCAAGAGAGAACTGCAAATTACCCACCCAATGTTTCTGAAATTGCAAGAAACTATCCATAATAACTCTCCTATCTGATTCTGCTAGGTCAGCTACCAATGCCCACCCAAGAAGAAGATCAACAATGTCAATAAAATGAGGTTGGAAGAGTCGAGAAAACTTTATTGCAATCAAAGTTAAGATGCCTAAAAGCCGATGTAATAAACTCAAGGAGGTTCTCTCATCCTCGAGAAGTTCCTGACACGCCTTGAGGATTGGTAAAGCATATCTTTCAATCCCACCAACATCACCAACGTTTAGAAATTCTCGCAAGCCTTCCACTGCCAACTCTGTGGTTCCATCTCCAGCACTAACATTTGTAAGCAATGGCAAAGCCCAACTGATGAACCGATCCACTAAACTACCAAGCATAACATGGTTTTGCCTACCACTTGATCCTATAGGGATTGATGACACAACAGCACAAAGAGAACCATAGGCAATAGCTGCAGAGTGCCTCACAGAGTATGACCTGGCAATAAATTACACCAAAATAATACATATAAGCCCTGTTGCATAAGAAATTGGAGATTATTTTCCTAACTAGAACCATATTCTCAGACTGGTGATTGTGTTAAGACTATTTTCCTTTCTTTTGTTGGGTGATATTCAAGCTGTTAGTGGTGTTGATTCATGAACTCATGATCATAGTTCCCAAGGAAATATATATTGAATTCTATTTGAACTATGATGAACATCCTAAACCTTCATAATAACTGAGATAAAACTCAAACTGAATATTGAGATTCTATCAAACTGAAAATCCTAATCGTGAAATCAACCAAAATACCCAAAAAAAAAAAAAGGAAAAAAAAAGAAGGCATTAATAATCAATTAAGCAAACTTCAATTTGAAAGTCAAATCTGAAGCTAAAGTTTTCAGCCAAACAAATTCTATTTTTGAATCCTAACTGTGAACAAAACAAAAAAAGAAAAAAAATATTAGAATCAAACTAGACGACCAACTTGTCCGATAGAAGCTGAGAGAGGCCTTGGGCGAGGAAAGAGGCAGAGTGAGCGATGAGGAGTGAGTGTGGCGGGTAGAGAATCGCGCCGTGAAGTGAGTTAAGCGCGCCGAGTCGAGCTGATTCACCATCCTCCGAGTTAGTCGAACCTGTTGCTGTCGCCGCTGTTGCTGAGGTGGTGGCGGTCGCTGGCGCCGCAGAGGCGGCGGAGGTGGCAGTGGTTGAATCCTTGGGGAGAGCGACGGTAAGGAGAGTCGCTAGTTGCTTCTGTTGATGGTGGAATCCTTGCATCATTTTTGTGAACACATCTATGGCTTTGCATCTCTTGCTCTTCTCTTATTTGTGTTTCCTTCTACCCTGATGTATGGCTTGCGCCTTTTGCTTCTCCTTTTCTTTCATTCTTCCATTCTTCTTCACCTTCTTTTTTTAAAAAAAAAAAAAAAAAAAAAAAAAACAATTTACGCTCGCCCCTTAGTCTTTACCGTATTTCTATTAATGGCCTCTTAAATCTAAAATGTTTGCGAAATTACCACCAATAATTTTTTTTTAATTGTTATGTTAAAAACTTATTATTATCTAGTCTATAGTATTAGTAATTTTTATGTTCAGTTTATCATTATTTCTTATAGATAAAACATTGACTTATTTATTATTTTTTAGTGAAAGATATCATTTTTAATAAAATTTAAAATACTCTGATTTGGAGAATAAATTTTATAGACAAAAAATCAAAGCCTTTGATTATGAAAGATTATGAAAGACAACACTTTAATAGACTAATTTTTCAGTTTATAGTTTGGCCTAACAATTTTGGTCACAAAGATTAGAAGATAGTAACACTATAAATATTTGAACTTCTAACATTAGCTTTAAATTAAAATTCAATGCTAAGTTAGTATTAATTCAACTAAACTTTTGTTGATAAATTAATTTCATTTAAATATTCTACATATTTTATAAGAAAGGGGTGACTCTTAATTGCATTTTATTTTCTATTAATCAAACTAATTTTATTAGGAAAAACAATTTTCATCTCAATATTCTAGCATCTTATCAAGCAAATTAAATTTTTACAATGATTTATTGAACTATTATTCACCTTTTTTTTATTAGTTCACTTCCATACTATAACTATGTGGCAATTTCTTCATTAAACTATAATTAACATTTTAACCAAAAAAAACTATTATTATTATAAAAAATATTTTTTAAAGAAAATATTAAGTATAATAAGAGCTTGTTTGGTGTGATTGGAGTTTTCGATAAAAATCTTAATAGAAAAAATCTATAGTAAAAGTTCTATTTTTAAGAAGTTAAAGGTGTTTAATAAAATTTTTTATCAAAAAACTTCCAAAATGTAAAGTTATTTGATAAATTTTTTTTATAAAAGATCTTCTAATTTAATATCATTTTAAAATGAATGAAAAGAACATTTTCTTTAAATAAGCATTCTCTCTCTCTCTCTCTCTCTCTCTCTCTCTCTCTCTCTCTCTCTTCATTTTTATAGAGCTTCAATTCCTTTCTAATTTAATTATGTCAAAGTTGATAATTACAAATGAATTTTTATATTTATAAAACATCAATTCTAGTAATTAACAATTTTAATATTAACAAATAGATAAACTCTTATATTTTAATATCAGAAAATGAAACATGCTACATTTAAGTTTTATAAATAAGAGAACAAAATTAAAAATTGATAATAATAATCATCTTGATTGACTTTCTGTTAAAAATAGAGTTATGGAATTTCAAAGTGAAGTCATGCCACGATTTTCCATTATACGTGCAAAATTATTTTGAGAAATTCTTTCATTTTTGTTCTTTTTCCCACACACTTCAAGTATGTGATTTGGCTTACGGTTGCACCTATCAAATTCTTTATCCTTACATGCTATCTAATGTAATCATGAAGTGCAATAGTTACAACCACTATCATATTTTGTGTTCTGAATGAATAATTTCACATCTTAGATAATATTTCAAATCTATTTTTCCAAACCCTAATAGATCGTTCAATGAAATTTATAAGACAAGCGTGAGTACGGTTGAATACTTCTTAATAACCCATTGATTGGCTTCCATGTCTAAAATAAAAAATGCAATGCCTTTCTCCTTTATAATATGCCAAATATCATTTTATATTAAGATAACCAATATTAATAAGATAATATTTACCTAAAATATTTAAGAAAAGTTATTAATAATAAATAATGAAAATGTGCTTAAAATTCATTAAAAAATGTGCCTTTGTTATTATAATATAAAATAAATGAAAAGTCATTACTATTAGGAGGATGAAGGAACACATTTTTATACTTTTTCAATGTTTTACTGAAGATGCATGCATTATGAGTAGATTCAAGCCAACTTGTAATTACAAATGTAAATATCATGTCAAAGTTACAAATTACCATCACATTTTGAGTAAAGTTGCCTTTCCAACCTTGTATGTTTCTTGATCTTCAACTAGGATTATAGCTTTAATATACGTACCATCAATTGCACCAATACATCCTTAAAAATGAGGCCAAAACCTACTATCTTTCTTAATTCTCTTTGGAGTTTTAATAAAATTATAATCAAGTGATTTTACAATATCAATTGAAAACCTCACCAAATTTTCTACTTACTATTTTTCCTATATATTTAAAATGATTTTGCATATTTCAATTACATTTTGTTATGTGCACATGTCCAAAGAAACATTACAAGTGCTTCTTCAACACATATTTATGTTGTTGATGTTTGACCATAATCACTAACCAACAAAGAACATATATAATCCCCTAAAAACATGTGGTTTCACTCTAAATATTTTGTAACTCTGATAACCTAGAGTTGTCAATGTCTCTTGTACCCATTGTCATCCAAAAAGTTTAGAAACTCTTGTTTTTTGTTTATTAAGATATTTCAAAATATATCTTAAGGATACTGAAGTACTTAATAAAATAAGAGAAAAAAAACATATCATCTTTTTTTCGTCTAGCTTCCACCTCCCTCTCTCTTAGTTATGTAGCTTCTTCCTCCATCTTATCTTCATCACTATTTTCTTCTTCCCACCTTCAATCTAAATCTGTCTACTAAGAAAGAGAAAAAGGTAGGAGAAAATATGATCATAACAAACAAATCCAATTATTTTTACAACAAAACTTTGTTAATAAAAAATAAAAGAAATTACCCCTTTTTTTAAATTTATCTTAATATAATGAGAAATGAACTTGGAAGAATGATGTCAACTAAACTCATTTGATTCTTAATAGAAACGAACAAGGCAAAGTAAATGAACTTAAGTGAAGGAGAAGAGTTGTTGCTAATAAAATGGAACAAATAAATAAGAAGTGGATTGGAGTTAATGTAATGCATCTGCACAACTACTTTGGCTTAGAGTGGATTAATTTCAATAAGTGCATGTTTAATGCTATAGTCAATGAAAGAAATAGGTGTTTGGTTAATTAGTTTTAATTTGAATGAGAGTAGCTAAAGGTTGGTTGGTTAAATAGGTGATTTTTTTTTTTCTCTCTTTTACTTGGTCAATCTTTCTTAAAAGTTGAGAAACTTGTGATTTATTTTGGGAAGCCTCACTTTATCCCTTTTTATAACAAGATTGGAGACTTATCTTGAGAAGTATACTTGCACTTCTTTCTATAAAGGAACAAAACACCTGTTGAGATGCATATCTCGACCTTCAATACTAGTAGAGGCCTTTTAGAACAACTTGCCATTACGGTGATGATGTAAGGTATAATTCATCAATGAAGCTCAACACCATATCTAGTAAAGTCTTTAATAATATAATGGTCTTTGTGTTAAATGAAATGGATGGAATTCTTTGCAACTTATTGAAAATCCAAATTATGGATTTTTTATGGTGTTTTTTTTCTTGGTTGTACTGCACTTTTGGGGTACAAGAGGGTTTGCTCTTTACATTATCTCTTTTCTATTTGTCAGAGATCTCCACATTTAGCTTGGATTTGATTACTTGCATGAATGCTTCAAAGGCATATACAAAACATGTGTTTTGAACTACTAGTTTGTGAATACAATAAAACTATCAAATATACAGTTCATTGGGAATTGTCACTGAACTCTTAAGGGTAGACCTTTCAACTATATATGAATATGCATTTGTTTTCATCCGTCAATTAGGAATGCTTATGGAGGATGCCCTTAATATGAAAACTAAGGTATTATATTACATTTCTTAGTTTAAAGGTAGTTTACTATTTTAATTTTTAAGCAGTCAAATGCCCTTCATTCTATGTAATGAAAGTTATATTCAATCCATTTCAAGATTCCTTTTGTCAGTGGAGTTTAACTCTTCACTTCCTCTTACTTTCTATAGGCTTATCTCTCTCTCTCTCTCTCTCTCTCTCTCTCTCTCTCTCTCTCTCTCTCTCTCTCTCTCTCT